GACATTTTCTATATGGAATTACATGTGAGATTTATACAGACCATCAGAATTTGAAATATCTGTTTACCCAGAAAGAGTTGAACCTAAGGTAGAGGTGCTGGATTAAGCTTATTAAAGATTATAACAGTACTATTCAATACCAACCAGGGAAAGTAAATATTGTGGCAGATGTTTTGAGTCAAAAATCATTAGATAAATTGGCTAGTTTGCGAGTAATTCGGAGAGAGTTATTTGTAGATTTGAAATCTTTGAGAGTACAGTTGAGGATAGGAGAGACTGCAGCTTTACTTACTACATTGACTTTAAGACCAAAACTGGTGGACAGAATTAGAGAGGCACAACAATTTGATCTCCAAATTGAGAAATTGAAGAAAGAGGTGAAGACTGATTTTATTATTGACAGTGCTGATGTTTTGTTATTTGGTTCTCGGTTATGTGTACCAAATGATGCAGGGTTAAAAAGAGAGATTCTAGAAGAAGCACACAGTTCAACATATGCTATGCATCCAGGTAGTACAAAGTTGTATCGTGGCCTGAGACAACATTACTGGTGGCCTGGAATGAAACGAGAGATAGTTGAGTTTGTGGCTCGATGTTTGGTATGTCAGTAGGTGAAGGCTGAGCATCAAAGAGCAGTTGGGTTATTACAGTCTTTATCGATTCCAGAATGAAAGTGGGAGCATATTACTATGAATTTTGTGAGTAATTTGTCCCGTACGCAGAAAGGACATGAGGTGATTTGGGTGATAGTTGATAGGTTAACGAAGTCTGCTCATTTTCTAACTATTAAAATGTCTTATGCTCTTCATAGACTAGCTAGATTATACATTGATGAGATTATGAGATTGCATGGTGTACCTATATCTATTGTTTCTGACAAGGATCCACGATTTACTTCAAGGTTTTGGCCAAGCTTACAAACTGTGTTGGGCATTACTTTGAAGTTTAGTACAACATTCCACCCATAAACAGATGGACAGACGGAGCGTACTATCCAGACATTGGAGGACATGCTGACAGCTTGTGTCATGGACCTTCAAGGTAACTGAGATAATTATTTGCCTTTGATTGACTTTGTTTATAATAACAGTTACCAGAGTTTAATTGAAATGACACCATATGAAGCTTTGTATGGGAGGAAGTGTAGAACGCTAGTGTGTTGGAGTGAAGTGGGTGAGAGGAAGTTATTGGGTCTAGAGATTGTGTAGATAACTGATGATCAAATTAAAGTTATATATGATAGATTACGGAGTGCACAAAGTAGGCAGAAAAGTTATGCTGTCAATCGCCGACGTGACTTAGAATTCAAGGTGGATGATCGAGTGTTTTTACAAGNGTGTTGGAGTGAAGTGGGTGAGAGGAAGTTATTGGGTCTAGAGATTGTGTAGATAACTGATGATCAAATTAAAGTTATATATGATAGATTACGGAGTACACAAAGTAGGCAGAAAAGTTATGCTGTCAATCGCCGACGTGACTTAGAATTCAAGGTGGATGATCGAGTGTTTTTACAGGTATCACCTTGGAAAGACGTCATTCGTTTTGGCAGGAAAGGGAAATTGACTCCCAGGTATATTGGTCTGTACAACATTGTAGAGCGAATTGGAGCTGTTGCATACCGATTGAAGTTACTAGTAGAGTTGTCTAGGTTGCATGATGTATTCCATGTGTCTATGCTACGGAAGTACATGCCTGACCCATCACATGTGTTGGCTTCAGAACCGTTGGAATTAGCTGAGGACTTGACTTATGTAGAGCAGTCGGTTCAAATTTTAGGTAAGAAGGAAAAAATATTACACACGAAGATGATATCGTTGGTAAAGGTTTTGTGGCGTAGTCACTCAGTAGAGGAAACAACTTGGGAGACTGAAGAGAGTATGCTGGCTCAATATCCACATTTTTTTAGTGCAAGTAATTTTGAGGACGAAATTTTTATTAGTGGGGAGAATTGTGAGACTCAATCATGCATTGCATGCATATTAATATAAGAGGGCTTGAATATAATTTTTCCTTACTCTTATGCCCTCGATCAAACGTTCCAAATTACAGAATGATGACCACACCTTCATTAATTTTCTCTTGCCAATTTTGACATCATACGTGCCCTCACCATCAACTCTTCTTCCTTTTCATCTATTAAGGAATACACTCTATCACAAGTATCTTTCATGTCCAATCCCAACTTCTAAACCTTCCCCACAAATTTATTATTTTCTTGAGTCTTGTTCCAATGAATTTTAAGGAGGGGTTTGCATTGATTTTTCTAAATTTTTTCAAATTCTAACTTTTTTTTTTTGTAAAGATGAAATTCAATATTTAATTCGGTGTATATTCATGTTTGATATGCAACACATATACATGTAGAACCCACGGATATATTATAATTATTAATAATTATTTGTCTTATAAATAATTATTTCATCCTTAATCAATTCAATTTATACTCATGTTAAAGGATATAATTGTCTTTTAGATTCTTAATCCCTTACCCATTTTTCCAAACCCACCTCCCCTTTAGGTTTACAAAACCCATGATCATAAGTTTAATTTTTGGATCAGTTACAGGCCTAATTTGAAAACCCGAGATTAAAATTTTCATACAAACATGAAATTTGGGAGACTTTTAGACTATTTTTCTCATACCCATCTTGTCAAACCCCCGTACCAAACAGTCCCTTGTTGATCAACGAAGTACGACCAGCAATTTATATGTAAAGTAATGTTACACAGTGCCTAACCGAGTCAAGCTTCGTCTTTGTCACCTTGAAAATAGACCTTCTAACTATGGTTTGAAAAATCGACAATTACTGCGCGTAACAGCTGTTACGTATCAGTGACAGAGGTCAACGATATCATTACATTCTAATTTATCGGCCAGAAAAAAATACACTTGTAATGTGTGTTACAATAGCGTAACGAACTGTAACGAACGTTACATCCCGTTAAGTAGCCGTAATGACCGTTACACATAAATAACTTTTATTTTGCTACTAGAAAACAAGAAAATTACGGAGAATATATGAAAAGAGAACAGTAGAGATTAAGAGGAGGTGTTTAAATCTGGTACTTGTTCAACAACATCGGCTTCTAAATACTACTGCTTAACCACTTTAGGTGGAGTTTCAATTTTCACAACGCATAGCCTACTACGAGGGAGAGAGAAACAAGCTCTTCTTTGTTTAGGGCAGATGAACGGCAGAGAAAAGAGTGGAGGTAAAAAATTATATTACGATCTTTTATCATGGATAAAAAAACTAAGCTGCCCCTTGTGAAAACATGAGATTAAATCTAAACGTAATAACTAAAAGTTGACCCAAATATAAAAAATGGGTCTAGCTTCTGCTTGGCCCAATTGAATTAACAGATTTTTTGTTTTATATTTTGCTAATATTTCTCCTGGAATGTATATCATAATTAAAAAAAAGATTCTTGATAAAATCGCAATTGTGTATGATTTCTAAATTCTCACATAAATATTTAAGTGGGTTCCTTTCAATTAAAAGTCGTTAGAAAACTCTTATCACGTAATTATTAAAATATAAATTTATATAACATTGATTATAATACAATAAAATGTGTAACATATCATAAAAGGCCTATATTTACATAAGCTTAGAGTTAAAAATGCATAAATTTATTTTTTGACAGAGGTGTTAAAGAAAATAAAAAATTCATACTTCCGGTTTCTGTTATTGTTACGTATCCGTTATTATATTATTGTTACCGTTACAGCGGTCGTTACCATTATTCAAAATTATGCTTCTAACACGATGACCCCAGCTTCACGGTTGTAGCTGGTAGACCCGTATACCCTGGATGATGTTCTAAATCTTCTTGGAAGGGAAGGGAAAAGGCATATAGCAGTGATGCTACTAAACTGTCCACGAGAGTTAGCTACACCTTCGCTGTTGGAGGAATTCAAATGACACCTTGATCGTTGGAAGAAATTCAAATAATTACAACTCAAATACATATTATTATTTAGATTAGTGAGTTTCATTAATTTTTTTAGTAGGACCTATTTATTTAACACTCATCCGAAAAATAATATGTATTTGAGTTACAATTTTTGGGTTTCATTAGAATTGTATATTATCTTTCTTGTATGTAATAACTTTATTTTTTGAGAAATTTCATGTAATTTCAACTTGAATATTTTTATTGAAACATAATAACTTCAGGAAAATGTTATATAAGTCAAATGAAATCCAAAATTTAAAACTCGAATGCATATTATTCCTTAGATGAGTGTGAGATAAGTGGGTCTCATTGAAAAAATTGGTGGGACCCATTCATTTAAAGAATGATATGTATTTGATTTTTGTAGTATGGTTCAAAAATTTATCTAATTTGTTATATTAATCATGTGACAATAGTGATGTAATCTAGTAATGTTGTCATGATTGTAATTTTTTAACCTTTTAACATATCATTGTGTCAGTAAATTAGATTAATTTTTTATGTCTAAAATCTTTAAAAATAATTTAGTGGTTGAATATGACATTTGATAATTTAAAAATCTCGCTTCAATATCTTTCTATATCCTTTAAATATTAGTCACTCATTTCCTAGCTTAGTTCAAGTCATATTAACCAGTGGTTGAATTCGTCGGTTCAAATCTCAAAATCTCAAGTGGTCGGTTCAAATCTCAAAATCCTATAACATAAAAAAAAAAAAAGGAGCACAACCCTTGTAAGTTGCTTGATGAGAAAAGAAAGCTAAAAGCGTAACCGGTGGCCGGAGCTGGCGGTGTAATGTGAACCCACAATTTAAGGTAAGATTACGGTGCTCACGAGTATCAAAAAGCTAAGTCAAACAAAGAGATTAGGTGTTATTGAAGCAAANATTTAAGGTAAGACTACTACGGTTAGACTACGGTGCCCACGAGTACCAAAAAGTTGAGTCAAACAAAGAGATCAGGTGCTATTGAAGCAAAAAAATTACAGCATTACCGAAGACTTCATTTCAGAGATGAAGAAGAAAAAAAAAGGCCAAGCAAATTAGGCCTGTGAAGCTGGCGAACTCATTACTCTAATGTCCTCAATCAGACGGTCCAAATTACAGTATGAAGACCCACCTTCGCTAACACTCTTTCTTGCTAATTTTGACATCTGATCAGCCCTACCCATGAACTCATCCTTCCTCTCCTCCATGAGTTCTTTCACCATATTCTCCACTGATGGGACTTTTCTGAAATACTCCATGATGAAGACACGTGTCCTCGGTATTATCAAAACACTGTTGCTAAGATCAAGCACCATCGGCTCACAAAGGTCCCTCGCTCCCGAGGTACTCGTCATATGGGATCATGGCATCCAGTACGTTTTTACAACCGACACATAGCCTCGGTCTGATATGGTACCTCGGTCGGTATACTCCCTTGGTTCCGAGATGAGCCTTTCCTCGGTGCCGAGAGGTACCCCGTCCTTGACGCCTCCTCTGCTCTAGGATNATACTGGGAAGAGGTTAATGAGGTAGAAGGCTGCTCGGAAGTTATGGCAGCAGCATCTTTCCGNGTACCTAATGATCACCTACTGACTACACTGACAGCAATCATGAGCTTTTGAGGTATAAATACTCCTTGCAAAAGGCAAGACGGTATGCAACAAAAAACTCTTTACTACAATACACATTCAGTGTTTTCTTCTTCCTCTCTCTCTCTCAAAGACTGACTAGATCGTCGGAGGGGATACGCCGAAAAACACTCCGGCGCCCTTCTAACTTGTTCTTCTTTGTTCCAGGAACCTTTCTTCAGCCTTACTGGATCGTTCTTCCGCTCCCCCAGGGTCTCCCGTTGCCGTTCCAGGATACCCACCGGACCTCGCAAGTTGTTCCAAGCAGCGTGGTTGGTCACTCAACTGACTCACTCGAGTTCACCAAGGGAGAGATCTGTTCTCGTTTTTATGTAGTGCAGGATCTTGCACGCACAATCTGGCGCCGTCTGTGGGAAACGACTAATTTTCTTAGTTTTTTCTCTATAAAGAACAGTGACCATGGTGAACACTCGACAGAAAGGGAAATGCCCCCACTAAAGGAGTCTCGAGTTACAAGCTCCCTGTCATCACAAAGGGAGGGATCACACCGATATGAATAAAAGTGCCTCTACTCGGTCAAGAGAGGTTACCCCTCAAACCAGTATGGAAATCAGGTCAGGGGTAACCGTCCTAAGGACAATGTAAACGTCCTAAGCCGGCTCAACGAGTTTGCCGCATCCGGCGAAGGGTTGAGAGATTCATTCCTTTCTCGTGGCCTTCCCGCCCGGGAGGCGGAAACGAAGGACCTAAGAAACCACCTAAACAACAAAGCAGGAAGCTCTAGGGCCCCAAAGCGACCCAGAGCCAGCGAGCATCATCATGACGACCATTCAAGGAAGGCAAGACCATTGGCCCTGGACGACCTCCGACGAGGTTTGTCTAGATGGAGGAAGAGAGATGTATCCGACGAGGATTCAACCCAATCCACACGACGCTCAGGAAATGAGGGGTTTATCGATGAACTCAAGGACTTCAGAAGGCATCCCGTCAGGGAGAAAATTGATCTCAGAGCCCGGTTGGAATCCAGGAAAAAGGGGAAGGCTGTCCAGGATGAGGCCGAAGACAAAGTCATACAAACACCCTTTACGAGGGAGATCGGCGAGATGGAGGTTTCAAGAAAGTTTGTCGTACCGCGGTTCAAAACTTATGACGGGCGGTCCGATCCCGAAGCCCATATCAGGCAATACAAGCAGATGATGTCCCTCTATCATTCGGACCAACGGTTTCTCTGCCGAGTGTTTCCAATGAGCCTGGGGGACTCTGCGATGAAATGGTTCGAGTCGCTTCCCCACAACAGTATTGGGTTGTGGAAGGAATTGACGAAGCAGTTCCTGACTCGATTCATTACGGGGAGTAAGTGCCCCAAAGACGTTGGATCATTGCTGACCCTCAGACGTAGGGAATCCGAGACTCTTCGCCAGTACGCCATCCGATACTGGGAAGAGGTTAATGAGGTAGAAGGCTGCTCGGAAGTTATGGCAGCAGCATCTTTCCGGCTCGGCCTGACAAGGGACACGGACCTGTATCGATCCCTGACCAAGAAGACTCCATCGGATATGGGAGAACTGATGGCCCGGATAAACAAATACTCGAGGGTTGAGGACGAGATAGGAAGCAGCAAAGGCCGAGCCCTCCAATCTAAGAGAAAAGAGAGGGAGCGGGAAGATATTCCCCGAAAGGGATTGCTACCCTCTCCAGGGGGTTCGTCCAAAGGAGTTCACACTGTGTTCAAGGAACCTATCTTCAAGTTGCTCCATAAGATCAAGCACAAGCCGTTCTTCAAATGGTCGCCCAGGATGCAGGTGTTCCTATCACCGGGATTTTGGGCATCGCACCGAAAGCTGCAGGGTGTTCAAGTCATTCTTGGAAAGATTGGTCCGAGACGGATATTTGAAAGAGTACATAGAGCCCAGGCCAGAAGAGAGACAAGCCCTTGCCCCGACCGAGGAGCCGGACAACATCATAGATGTCATCCATATATGTCCCCTGGATCGCCCCACATCCAAGGAACTCGAGTCCGACCTTAAGAGGGTGGCTTTTACGAGGAAGGTAGCCGAGGTTGATGTAGGGCCACCTAGTAAAAGGGTCAGGATGGGTGAGCTTGGCATTATATTCTCCGACGCGGATTTGACAGGCGTAGTAACTCCTCATAACGACGCCCTTGTCTTGACCCTGAGGATAGGAAAATTCGACGTCAAAAGGATTTTGATAGACTTTGGAAGTTCCTTGGAAGTGATGTACTCCGAAACTTTAAAACGGATGGGTCTTAGNGCCTCTGGCGAAGGATCGAGGGATTCATTCCTTTCTCGTGGGCTTCCCGCCCGGGAGACGGAAACGAAGGATCTAAAAAACCACCTAAACAACAAAGCAGGAAGCTCTAGGGCCCCAAAGCGACCCAGAGCCAGCGAGCATCATCATGACGACCATTCAAGGAAGGCAAGACCATTGGCCCTGGACGACCTCCGACGAGGTTTGTCTAGATGGAGGAAGAGAGATGTATCCGACGAGGATTCAACCCAATCCACACGACGCTCAGGAAATGAGGGGTTTATCGATGAACTCAAGGACTTCAGAAGGCATCCCGTCAGGGAGAAAATTGATCTCAGAGCCCGGTTGGAATCCAGGAGAAAGGGGAAGGCTGTCCAGGATGAGGCCGAAGACAAAGTCATACAAACACCCTTTACGAGGGAGATCGGCGAGATGGAGGTTTCAAGAAAGTTTGTCGTACCGCGGTTCAAAACTTATGACGGGCGGTCCGATCCCGAAGCCCATATCAGGCAATACAAGCAGATGATGTCCCTCTATCATTCGGACCAACGGTTTCTCTGCCGAGTGTTTCCAATGAGCCTGGGGGACTCTGCGATGAAATGGTTCGAGTCGCTTCCCCACAACAGTATTGGGTTGTGGAAGGAATTGACGAAGCAGTTCCTGACTCGATTCATTACGGGGAGTAAGTGCCCCAAAGACGTTGGATCATTGCTGACCCTCAGACGTAGGGAATCCGAGACTCTTCGCCAGTACGCCATCCGATACTGGGAAGAGGTTAATGAGGTAGAAGGCTGCTCGGAAGTTATGGCAGCAGCATCTTTCCGGCTCGGCCTGACAAGGGACACGGACCTGTATCGATCCCTGACCAAGAAGACTCCATCGGATATGGGAGAACTGATGGCCCGGATAAACAAATACTCGAGGGTTGAGGACGAGATAGGAAGCAGCAAAGGCCGAGCCCTCCAATCTAAGAGAAAAGAGAGGGAGCGGGAAGATATTCCCCGAAAGGGATTGCTACCCCCTCCAGGGGGTTCGTCCAAAGGAGTTCACACTGTGTTCAAGGAACCCATCTTCAAGTTGCTCCATAAAATCAAGCACGAGCCGTTCTTCAAATGGCCGCCCAGGATGCAGGGCGACCCCTCCACCCGTGATCAAAAGGTTAGGTGTTCCTATCACCGGGATTTCGGGCATCGCACCGAAAGCTGCAGGGTGTTCAAATCGTTCTTGGAAAGATTGGTCCGAGACGGATATTTGAAAGAGTACATAGAGCCCAGGCCAGAAGAGAGACAAGCCCTTGCCCCGACCGAGGAGCCGGACAACATCATAGATGTCATCCATATATGTCCCCTGGATCGCCCCACGTCCAAGGAACTCGAGTCCGACCTCAAGAGGGTAGCTTTTACAAGGAAGGTAGCCGAGGTTGATGTGGGGCCATCAAGTAAAAGGGCCAGGACGGGTGAGCTTGGCATTACATTCTCCGACGCGGATTTGACAGGCGTAGTGACTCCTCATAACGACGCCCTTGTCTTGACCCTGAGGATAGGAAAATTCGACGTCAAAAGGATTTTGATAGACTCTGGAAGTTCCTCGGAGGTGATGTACTCCGAAACTTTAAAACGGATGGGTCTTGGCCCCAAAGACCTCACCAAAGTCAGGACACCCCTCATCGGATTCAACGGCTCGTTCGCCCTGCCCGTGGGGAAAATCACATTGCCAGTTGTCACAGGTCCCTTTGTCATCGACACCGAGTTTGTCGTGATCGATACGGACTCTCCCTACAACATGATTATGGGGCGAACATGGCTGCATGCGTTGGGAGCGGTGCATTCCACTTTCCACCAGAAATTAAAATTCGCCACGCCAGAGGGTATCATGGAGATCCGGGGGGACCAAGCGTCCGCGAAAAATTGTTTTTATTCAGCCGTTCGAGCCGGGGCGTTCAGCCAGGAGAAGGGGCGAGCACCGGAAGAGATTATGGAAAAATAGCAATTACAGTCCGGGCGTCCAGGAATGGATGACCCCCGGATAGACCCAACTGAGCGGTCGGTAGAAGACCTCCGGAAGGTGCCCTTGGTAGAGGGAGAAGAAGAGAGGTATTTCTTAGTTGGGACCTCGATGCCCACAGCCGAACAGGAGGAGATGATCGAGTTCCTAAGGGAAAATACAGACGTGTTCGCCTGGAACGAAATGGAAATGACGGGGGTAGACCCCGAGATAATCACACACAGGCTGCATGTTGACCCGTCGCACAAGCCAGTCAAATAGAGGCCACGACGCATGGCCCCGTATCACGCCAGCGCGGTCAACAAGGAAGTCGACAAACTCCTGAAGGCCGACGCCATTCGAGAGATACAGTTCCCAGAATGGTTGTCTAATACGGTATGCGCGAAGAAGAA